ACCCAAAAGCCGAGATGTACTCCGTGAACATCTGAGTTGCTTATAGAACTCAGAAGATAAATACAATTCATCCAATAACTGAAACTTCCAGTTTAAAATTCATTACATGAGGAGCCAGTCAACAAGTTACCATGTGACATGGATCCCGTGATTGTAGGGTTCGATGCTATATTCTGCTAATGGCACTGCTGATCAGCCGTTCGTGACCGAAGTGTTCAAACCACTGGCTGGGAGATCGCAGGTATACGACTCCCTAGAGTTTCGCGAGGTGCGCACTACCGATGATTGCCAATAAGGATGCGACCATTGCGCAGCGCTTTTCCGATTTTCAGCACGGTTTGGCTTCACTTACAAGACGACGTCTCCAGCAAAACTCCCAGATTGGTTGAGGTGACATGCGTGGTGCCGGATATCACATAAACACAGAGTAGTCAACCAGATCGGATAGAATCTATAAACCAGATGACTCGGTGAAACCGGAGTAGGCTCTTCACCTCATATATGGTCATATTATCGGCAGGTATTCTAAAACCCCTCAAACGGAAATTTAGTAGTTACATTAAGAAGTCATATGACTATGCCAACAAAGTAGCGGGTTTCGCCGTAGAACCAGATGACATTCTTCCCCTCCCAATCTCCTCAATGAAAAGTCCACTGACAACCATGTATTTACACATCAATAACCGCTACCGCCTCCAATGCGCGGCTATCTACTCCACTTCCCCGAGTTACCGGTCGAAGAAACTGAGCAGCTGCAACCATTAATGACAAGAAAGTGGTTTTTACATCTGATGATATGACGTTATTGTAAGTGTCGTTATATACAAATGTGCCTGAAAGGGGATTCTTTAGACATAGCCAAGCGATTGCTATTGGTAAACACCACTCTTTCAGGATGGACACAATTTACAATAAATGAAATAGTATAAAGTATAAATAATAGTATGAATGATATAAATGGTATAAAAGCATGTCCGAATCTTTGTGGTTTACACTCAAAAAAAGCCCAGTAATTGGAGCTCCAATATCCTCGGTTTCGTTGAAGATTTTAAACGAAAGATTTAGTCGGACTTCCGTACCAATGCAAAATATTCCAGCCTTATGATGAGACAAAACAAAGTCAGTGAGTTTTACAGCTACCCGAATGACCTGAATCCACACATCAAATTTGGTATGGAGGTAGAGTCAACTTCGGATACACTGGCCCTAGACTGCATGATTAATAAATGTACTACAAGCAATTTTGAACTACTAGCCTGCCTATCTCAAGTCAGTATTCGCTAGTATTGCTTCATCAATGTTTAGGCGTGCTGTAACCCAGTGCACAGAAGTTTATTGGACAGCGGCCCAAATTGAAGTAAGGAACAAACTTCGGGTTGTGGCTATCCAACTAGTTTGATTAGGCGTCATTTACGAAGGGTGCTTGTACTGGCAACGAAACCAAAACAAGAATGGCTTCGGACGCCTGTTGTTCTAAATAAACCAGAGACGTTGGAGATCATTCGAAGGACTCTAAACGCGGCCAACATGAGAGTAGCATTCCAGAGGGGAAACATTGTGCGCTCCGCACTGGTGCAACTGAAGCATCGCCTCCCGGAAAACAGAACCAGGGACTGCGCCTATATAATTAAACGTAACGACTGCATTCAAGTCTATATAGGCAGACGACCAGGGAACTTCATACCAGAATCGGATAGCATGAGAGGAAAATAAACAGGCCGCCGAGGAACGCGGATGAATATCGTGCGTTACTAAACGACTCGGCAGTTGCAGAACATGCACTGGACACGGGACACAAACTAGATTTATAAAATGTGAGGTTTTGTGGCGGAGATTACGGTCCACGTCACAGAGACTGATGGCCGAGGCGGTAGAAATCACCAAGGGTCCCAGTGTTAACAGAATAGAAAGCGTGGAACTGGCAAGCGGTACAGAACGGGTTGGGATCAGTCGAGCTGATACGTGTCATAAGAAGGATGAGTAGTCGTCATCCGAATTCCACTTGACTCCACCCATCCCCCAACTAAACTGTCGGAACACTCACAACCCCACAAACACCAACGAAATCTATCAGCAGCAACAGCACTGAATCATCAATTGAAGCACATTAAAGTGGAAAATTAACGAATCAACCCAATCAGAATTAACTTGAAACTCCCCCAATCAATCAGTGTATGATTTTGACAACCACACTAACCGACAAGTGCCGTTAATTGACACCCAAAACTAATCTAGTGCGCTAATATGAATAGGTTTCACTGATAAGCTCTCCGCTGCCTTAAAACCTGGCCAACATGGTGACCTGTTCACTTGACCTGATGATGCTTTTGTGTCGAAAGCGAAACGGTGCACAAATAACTACCGATTGTTTACCAAGCCCTTCTGAAATCCGTTTTAGTTATTTTGATGCAATGCATGTCAAGCAAGAGGAACACTCATTCAGCCTTTGGCATTGAAAGCAAGCAATTTGTTCCAGTAATTGCATTTTTAGAGCGCTTAAGCACAACCAAGTAACTGTTCACTCTACTTTTTTTTCTCAGGTACATGTAAAACATGGTGACCATTTACGTGCTGCTCGAATGCTCATTCGTG